TTTGGCATCGAACAAGTATAAACGCTGGCAGAACGCCAATGTCAAAATTCGTTTGCGAAATTTTGATCTCGAGGTTGCAACACGTTGTGGAAGATCAGTTGGAACTGATGACGACACAATAAAGGCATTATTTAATGCAAACGGCCGAAAAATAACTGGAGATTGCAGACAGATTAAATTTGTCGAATTCGACCTTGATTGAAGAAAATCGTCCTTGATTTCCGTGGAGAAAAAAAAAACCAAATTACTTTCCGAACAATAGATGGAACATCAGTCTTCTTATTTCATCAGTTTCATTCAAAAGAGGTAATGCCAAGGGATTTACGTAATATGATTGCTCAGTTTGGCAGAGTATTTTGATGATTCGATTTTTGATAAAAGGTTTTTTGAGTACTAAAATTTTCACTACACTGTCCAATAGCAAATACTATTGTGTTCGATTTACGTTTTTGGCTGAAATTGGTAAGTGGAACGTCTGCACACACATAACCAGGAAAGCTGAATAGAAATTTTTAGCGCTTTTTTCTCCCCCTTCCCATCTTTTCTTTGTTCAGTTTTTTATTAAGAAAGATACGAAGTTCTCTACGAGCGAACAAACTTGAAATCTTCTCCTAGATATAGAACGAACGACAAAAGATAGTCCAAGCAAATGACATATTTTTCTTCAAGACTCTTATTGACGCTATTTTAATCTTGTAGGAACGCCATCTTATAATTCCTTTATGGGCCGCCTTATTGCTTGAAAAGTGCTTTAGATGACAATTCATTATTGAATCGTTTTTTAATGGAAAACTTGTTCAATATATTTAAAGCTTGTTGAATGCGCAATTACCTCTTTCGACTGACTATCTTTCTTATCATTTTTCACTGTTTTTTTTTCTTTTTATTTTTCTTTCTTTTTATTCTTTTCTAATAATATATTTACATTCTTTATGATAGTGTTTTCAATTTGATTAATTTATGATTATTATGAAAACATTTTATTGTAATAAGTGAAATACAGGTTCAATTGTAGACGGTTTAAAAACATTTGTATATTTTCGATAAGGTATTGTTTTTTATCAATTCCACAAAAAAAAAAAAAAAAAAAAAAACGGAAAAAAACCAAAAATTGTATTTTTAAAAGTGGGTCAGTTTTTGAGATACACATCTAGACACAAATAATTTTAATTTAAATTTTTAGAATATTCAATAATAAAAAATGCTGTCAATAAAAATTATCTATAAATTGAACAGAGATTCATTAAAAATTTCAAAAAAAAACTCTCTTCACCTATCTCTTTCTATCTTTCTCCCTATTAAATATCTTAAGTATGTTAAATAAGCGGCTAAACGCCTATGGATGACTTTTCACAACTATTCGCTGTAAAAATAAATGTCCTAATTGCTTACTATCGAAATCGAAAACGATCTATGTTGTTATCATGTTAAGCATTAAATAAGGTTCACATTTCTTCGAAGACTTGGTTGGGCAAGACATCTGGTTTCTACTTTTTCTTAAAATATTGATAGAGATCAAGTTAAAACTCGGATAAGTGATTACAGTCATGACTTCTCAATCGGTACACATATATACATATATGCATACATATTTATAAATATTTTCATGGGCGTTGAGCGTGTTGAATATACTCTCCTCAGCCGAGAATCCCAACCTTTTACTGTGCGTGGTCGAAGTTTTTAGACAAGATCTGGTAACTCTTATCCAGACATGCAAACTGCGGTCTAATCTTGGCCTGACGCAGGTAGCGCAAATACTGTAGTGAAGTATTTTTTGCTCTCTTTTGAAAAGACCATTAGGTCCTTCATTGTATTTTTCGGCATTTCACATACATGCTTCGTCCAACGAATGATTTTTGTGTTCTTATGCCCATATCTACTAATTGTAATCAAGATTTATTTATTATTATTCCTGCAAATAGTTGGTAAACACACAGCTCTCCTAAGAATTGTAAAAAAATTGTAAACCGATGTTAACCTAATAATCGCAATTCAAGGATGCGAACTCAAAAGAAGTTGAATGAAAAAATAAAATTGTTCCTCGCAACCATTGCTCATTCTGTAACGGCATACAAAGCAACCGTTAAATAAAATTTATTACTTGCATTGGAATTAAAAGACTATCTATTTAAGGTCCAGGCGTATAATCACGGATTTTACGGGACTTATTATAATTCTGCTAAATACTTATCGCACGAAGTTTTGATCAATTTGTCCGTATATCTGAACTCTCACCGTCGTAAATGTCGAAATAGACCTTTGAATCTGGGCTCATATATCCTAGTATAAGTTCACCAAGCAAACGAAAGACAAGCACGATCCACTTGCAAGCATTCTGGCATAATATTATTGTCAACCAGTAGTTTTTTTTTTTTTTGTCTTCTATGACCACCCACTCAGGGGAAGGCACGGTTGCGATCAGAAAGGATTACAGGAAGAGTAGGGTGAAGACATATACCGCGTGAAAATGTCTTAAAAACAATTCCTAATGCTCTCCATTTGTTTTCTTTTATTAAATTTCAGCATGAAGATGTTCCAACTGTATCTTCGATCTTACAGGTAAGTCAAAAATTCTATTATATAAAATTAGCTTACAAACATCAAGCATTTATATTTTCTCCTCTTATAAGGAAGGTCCGAAATCAATAGAAGTGTAAAAAAATAACTCTTTTTTCCGACATTTTGTTTTCAGAGCGTTTTCGAAAAGTTGAATAGTTTTGATAACCTTCAACAATTGTATTGCTTCTCATCATTATTTTTACATCATTCGTCGTATAAAACTTGGCCCGAATGCGTGCAACATCCCGAAAGACTGGCGATGGAGACACCTTTCATTATATTGATCCGTTCTGAATGAATTTCTGAACCGATCAAAGCTGACCTGTCCGTCTTATTTCGTAGTAGGCCACAGACCGTAAAATTTGCGATATTTTGAAGAAATTCCTTATATATCGACGGGTTTTGCCTAGAAAACGAACGCTATGGAAAACAATTCCGATTTTCCACCACTTCCTTTTCTTTGTTAGTATCAAAAATTACTTTATTTTTTTCACTATCATTCGCCCAATTATAGATTGTACTCAGATATTAAGAAAGAGTTAAAAGTTCGTGCATTTTTTTTTTTTTAATCAACAACTATTAAAAGTCAGACTTTTTCAAAGAAGCCTGTTGAACGAGTTACTTAGATATTCGCTTAATAGAACGTCGGAGTAGGCACACATCTAACCTAAACGTAGCCCCCAAAAACATTAATAATTCTACCTTTTTTTTTCAAATTTCTTAGTTATATATTTTATGGAAAATTTATTTGTAAGAAAAAATCAATTCTAAGATTTAATTGCAACTATAAAAGGAAGATAAATTCTATATAAAGCCATATCCATCACGTAAAAAATAGCTACGATAGGAGTACGGGCGAGCAAACTAGTAGGAGGCCATTAAATTTTGCTTCTTCTTAAAAGATTTTATAACGGATTTCATAGCTGGTTAAGGCGATATTTAAAATATACGCAGTACCACACAATTTGTGGACCCTAGCGCACCAAGAATCCCATCAGAGTCTTCAAAGCATTTGCCCGTCATCCAAACAACTAGAGCATACAGTAGCCAAAAGCCAACTAACCAACGAAATCAGTAGACGTTTTTAAATTGCAAAGAGCAAAAATTATTTTTCTTTTAATAATTTGGCAGAATTGTTTTAAGTGAACATACAAGCCATCCTTATCCGTGTTGGCTTAATTTAGTTAATTTCAATAAACCATAAAAATAAATCAATAAATAGATAATAAAAATATTAGTTTATCAAAAATATATTGAGCCCTTAAGAAGTAGAAAATTCATTTCGCTTATGGGATCCTAGTGAACTGAATATTCATCAGAAAGACTTGGTAATACAATAAGATGTCGTTTTGATAAATAAACACTTTGACAGCGTAGTCCTGTAATGCAAACGTGATAAATATCCCATTGTGCTATATTCACATTAACCATTTTGTTTTAATTTTAATTAAAGTAGTCTATGAAAAAACTGTCGTCGAGAACGGGGAAAACCTTGAATTATAATTTATTTATTTAGAAAAGGACATCAAGGTTATATATATCAGACCGTGTGTAAGTGAGAATTGAAAATCGTTCATCAATCCTAGCATGCGTTGACACGACCATTTTACAAAAGTTTTCTTCGAGATTTATACTTAAGACATCTTTTTTAAACTGACAGCTTAACACGGCTTGCTTATGGAAAATAACAAAGCTAATCTCCAAACTCCTGCTTATAGTAGATAGCTTGAATAATTTATGTATAACGAATTGGGTTTGCGATTAAGCAACACGAGTCGACGTGAATCGAGAATATTATGATGAATCGCAAATAATGGCTTATTTAATAGATAGAATGAAATAAAGAATATAACGACAATAAGACGACCTGTTTGTTCAAGATTTCCCGCTAGCTAAGTCTACATGCAAAAAAAAAGTGATCCTCACGAAAATCCAAATCCTTTCATTTCAATTAATTACATGCTTTTGCATATTCACTAACTTACGTTGGTCTTTCTGTCTTTCTATGATCCCATGGTTTTTTAATTGTTACCGAATAACAAAACTAGCGCACAGAGAAACTGCACTCGATTTGTGCTCACTTAGGGCCCTGAAATGCCGTGAGAAAGTACAGAAGTAATATTCAATACAATAGTCAAGTTGGTTAATACTGCGTAGTGGTGTTGCGATATGAAAAAAAAAAAAAACCGCAAACGTAGTACTTTCTTACACTACTCCCCATTGTAACAGAAAAGACCAAAAAAATTTGCCAAAGGCGCAACGCTTGCCTTTCCGGTAAAGACAGAGTCACTTTATTTTAAATAGTCTGGCAAATATTGATGCTTCTCATCTACAATTCTTAGTTAAAGCCTATGATATCTCTATGACAAAACTAAAAAAAATTTGAAGGCAGACTCAACTCACTTTCTTAAAACTATTACAAACAATAAAATTTAACTTACATCGATTTTGATTGAAATGATGCGTCGTAGTAGGCGTTGTTTTTAACATATCCCGCTTTAAGGAATTATTTGTATCCTCCGGTGCTGTATGCCAACGCAACTCCGACATAACCATTTTTACAATTAAAATGTATTAAAAATCTCGTCTTTTTTTGATATTTTCTTTGTTTAATTCGGCGCACTTTACTGAATTCAAATTTCCATTATATAATAGAAAATAAATAAACAAACAGAAAGAGGATAAAATTGACGAAAAAATTTTATTTTGCTTCTAATTTCCGAGAATCAAACGTATTTCCGAATATTTCGAGTAATGTTCACTTGTAGCTATTGTCGTTGACTAAAACTGAGTTATCATCGCTATCAAGCTACAGATGGTCTCACTCGCTCTCTCTCTCTCTCTCTCTCTCTCTCTCCTCCCTCTTCCCACTCATTTACTTCCTAAACGATTTATTGATTGTTATTTGATATCATTTTTCCAAACGTTAAGAAAAAAAAATAAAAAAAAATACTCATCACAAAAGTGTTTAGATTTTTGCTTCAAATGTTGTTTGAGAAATGTACGTTTGCGAAATCTTGTAATGGTTAATAACTGAGTTAAATTTTCTTCTTTTCTATAAAGTTTTTTCCCTTATTTTTCGACAATTTATTCAATTTTCCTAGGGGTTAATTTTAGAGATGGATTTTCTTTCGTATTAGAATTTTTTCTCAGTTTACGCAGAAATTATTTTCTTTTACTATCTGCTTTTGTTGTTGCTTTTGTTATTTTCTTTGCTTCTTTGTTTTGTTAAATTTTTGTGAAAGCGTTTCAACGTTTCAACGTTTTACTTGTTAGACGTGATAAATAAAACTGAGTATCTGAGTATTCTATAGTTTGTGTCCATACAGCGCTGACCCTCTGACAGCTGGTGTATCTGTAGGATATATATATATATATATATATATATGTATAAAAGCGTTTGCTCTCATTTTTTTAGTTTATTTTTCTTTTTTACCTTTTTTTCTATATTAACTTTGTATGCATTTACCGTTTTTTTTTTTTTTTTTTATTTCATATTATAATCTTATGTTGTATATATGTTGCTGTAAAATGTGCAAATAAAATTTAAGAAAAAAAAAAAAAACAAAGCAACCAAAGCAAAAAATAACTATAAAACCAGCAAAGCAATATAGTCAGTCATTTATATTCGCTTATAAACCAATACATATGCAAAATTTAACTCTTGCACAAAGCAAGCACGAATGAGTTTTCTATAAGATTACGCTTGGCAAAGAGTAAATTCCCCTTTATAATAATAAAAAAAAAAAGAAAAAGAAGAAGAAGAAGTAAATAAATTTTCAACTCTTTCTTTCTTATATTTTCTTATTAGCTTTTTTGCTTTGCTTAAGGAGAAATCGTTAAAACCTAAAATAGATTCCACACTTTTATAAAACTCTTTTATTTGCTCTCTCCCTCTCTCTCTTTCTCTCTGTTTTTCTTAGCTCTTAGCGTAAAACTGGTTTTATTTAGTTGCTCTCTCAATATCTGCCATGAATTTACGCTTCTCAGTTACTTTAAATATACTTTTGCTCCCCTTCTTTTCTCTCTCACTTACTCTCTCTTTCTCTCTCTCTCTCTCTCTCTCTCTGTTACGCTCTTCATAAGCATATAAAGTTAGTATGTATATTTGTAAGTATGCGAGTTTTTATATGATTTTTATACTAAGGAGGCTTTGTTTTCTAAAATTTTATACATTTTAAAATGCTTGTGTAAAGGCTGTGTGTGTTGTTATTGCTACTGCTGCTGCTACTGCTAGTTTTTGCTTTTTTCTGTTTTTCTATTTTTTTTTTTTTTTTGCATTGTCAACCGTTATGAGCTGTTTTTGTTGTTATTCTGACTATTTTGCCTATGTATGAGTGAGCATTTACAATTTGTATATGCTTGTGTACACTGTCTTTCTTTTTTATAGCTAACGGGAGGTGTGGCTTAAAATTTAAATTTTTCATTCGTTTTTTAGCTGACTTCTGTTGCAGCAGTGTTGTTGTTGCAATTCTTTTACATATCTTTTGGCTCTAAGGGAGCCTTCAAAATGTCTCATATTTTACATATTATATACGTTACAATACTTTGTTACGTTGTTGTTATTGTTGTCGTTTTACCAAGTATAGCCTTTTGTATGATTGGATCGTTTATTTTAATATTTTTCAATATATGCACACACACCTATATATATATATATAAGTTGTAGGTGTACGATGCCTGCAAGAGTGTTTGTTCTCGATGTAAGGCTTTTCCATGTAAAAGCAGTAACTGCATGAGAAAAAAAAGGGAAAAGCAAAGGAAAATTGTTGGGACATGATTTATGCGCAAGCTTTTATTTGAATATATTTTCAATAGGATTTCTTTACTTGTTTTTTTTTTTTTTTGTTTTGCTTTTCTCTTAATTTTCTTTTATTTTGTTTTCCTGTCATAATATTTTCTTTTCTCTTGTTTTTTTTGTTTTGTGTGGTTGTTTCGCACATAGTTTTTGGTATATGGAAAAGCACGTATCATCGAAGTGGGTGAGTTATACATGAATAAATGTTTATTTCGGGTCTAAAAATTTTGCAATTTATTGATATTGGTTGCAATAACCGAAAAAGGTAAACAGCTGGTATTTCCAAACTTGATTCAAATTTGAATTCAGCTTTTCACACTTGAAGAATTAACAGAATTATGCTTAAACTAGAATATTATTAGAAAGCTAAAAAGCATCTAATTACTCATTGTTCTCATTATCTGAGTAATTGTTTTCTATGTGCTATTATTAAGAAGGTGGCAAAATATAATGAAAAAAAAAAAAAACTGTTACAAGTGTCTCAGACGTTAGATTTGTATATAGGAACATCAAAGAATTTTGATTTTTTGACTTGTTTTTTTTTTAATTTTTTTTTTTTTTTTTTTTTTTTTTTTGAATATTTTGATAAGCCTATAATATTAGACTACTTCAGTCAAGTTGTCGTTGCAATAAATCAAACAGCAAGTCTTCCTCGAAAAATTTTTCTTTGATAATTGAGCGAATAAAATAAAAATAAATCCATCTAACAACCTTATGGACTATCTACATATTGAAAAATGTTAGATTGAGTTTAGTTAGAAGAGTAGCGTTATTAGCGGTAAATATGAATGTTTATAAAAATAAGGATGTGAGAATTTGCAATAATCATGAGCAACTTGTTTACCATTTGGAAACTACGTAAGCTATGTTCCCTATTGACATAAGATTCTAAATTGTTTCTAATTGGTTCTTCGCTTTGACACGTTCGTCCGTCGATCTTCTCCTTGCTTGGCCACTGTCGAATGGGGAAGATCGGAAAAATTGCAGGAGAATGTTGAAATTGGTTAATGTAGTCCGAGACTTGCGGCGTCACATGCAGCTTAGAAGCGGGGATATCCAATCTGCTCTAAGGACGACACCATTTAACCATATTCATGTAGGTACAAATGTTGTCCAGAATCAACGGATTCCTCAGACCGAAAGATGGTTCGATCAGTTAAGCAAGAAAGCTTTTTCTAATCTTAAGTAAATATTCATCTAAAACTTCGTAGTGTGCCGTTTAAATACCTTGTCTATAATTGTCAATATAAAGACTTTACAATTGTTATGTGTTCGTTTGAAACGGTGGTTATCAAAATATGCGCTCCTTGGTGAACATTGGTTTTCTACTTTTTTCTAAACTTTTCTTTTTCTTCTTCTTCTTTTCCTTTTCTTTTTCTCTTTTATCACTAGAAAAAAATCGCACAAAGAAGTTCAAAAAAGCAATTCAATTCCACAAAAAAGAGGAACACATTACTACATACTATGCAGACAAATCCATCGGGGACCTCGTAAAGTATATTTATTCCCGAGTAGTAGGAAGAACGCAATCAATTGAGATATATCGAAAATTGCGCCTGCGCGTGTTCATTGCACTCCCAATAATGAGCGGAAAGCTTTATTTGGACGAACATAGTAGTTCTCAAGTTATGTCTTCCTATCCCGCAAATCAATTCATGGCTCACCCACAACTGATTAACAATCATTTTTACCTAAATTTCAGACTTTTTATCTTTAAAGTTCGTCGTCTCAGAGAAAAGAAATTTGATGGTCACATATATTGGATAAAAGCATCGTTCGTATATGTTTACAATCTGCCTATATTTAAAAACATTCATATGTGTATACACCTTAGAGATTATAATGTAAATATAGTTCTAACCTGTACACACCTGTACTACAAAATTCTGCTAAATTGAATGCAAGCAAATGCGCTACGATTTAAAATCAAAATATGAAGTGAATGGGTTCTGCACAAATATATCGAACTCAAGTTCTTCGTGGATATTCAAATATTCAGCTTATGCCATAAAGTTGCCCCGACTAAATATATATTTTTGTGTTATAAGGGCAGACAATAGCCAATAAAGCCGGCCAGAAGAGAATTTCACGATTTGTTTTTTACACTTATAATTGAATCCAATGTTAGTATGTATAATTGTAAAACGAGAACAGAGGAGGATAGAGATAGAGAAAAAAAGAAAGGAAAAATAAGAATTTCTTTTTTCTTATCAACATATCGGATAAGGCTTTAATGTAATTAACATATTCCAGAATTTCCGGGAAACTTGTTTTCATTTTATTTTTTAATTTCATTTGCCGTTTATAGGAATACCTTGACTTGAATCACGAAACAATCGCCCGCAAGGACGTTTAATGGGAAATTAACAATAAGAAGAAAATTATTCTAACACTCTAAGAAAAATTTGTCGTTGTTGTTGTCGTATTATTAGTAAAACCATATAATACAAAAAAAAAAAAGGAAAAAGAATAGAAGCAAATCATAAAAAAGAAGTCAAAATAGAAGAAAACATTTTAACAAATCGTTGCGAACGTGAGAGAGTTAAACCAAAAGAAAAGTCTATTAAAGACCACATGCCTATAAGTGTGTACATACATATATATGTTGTACTATTTACGGCCGCTATGAATGTTTGTTTAAGCGTAACTGCACATAGTCAGTAGTAGTTTAGCTCAAAATTCAGTTCAATTTTCTCTTAATTAACATGTATGCTGAACGACATTAACCTAAACGAATCCTTTAAAAAAATCATAGAAAACAAATTCTGAAAGGTTGGAAACGAAATTTTTTTTTTATGATTTCTAAGTTTTTTCTTTATAAACTCTTTTTTCTCTGTACACTTTTTTTTTATTGGTTTTTACGATTTTCATGGAATCGGTCATAAAAATGTTAGTATTCTTAAAACAAAACATAAATGAAACGCAAATTTCATAGAGCGTTACTTGTATTCTAATTTTTTATAGCTATCGTCAAAGGAATATAATAATGTTATCACTGCCTTTTCAATTCAAGGCAGGGTACTTCGCTTAACTTCTCGAAATTAAATAAGTTAAATAATAATGAGCCCAGCAGTAAGGGGAATAAAAAGGGTTAGGTAATGTCAACTTTTTAACTTCTTTCATATATGTTCATGCAGTTGACGTATACTCGCGCAAAATGGGAGATAAAAATTCGAGCTGGCTAATGAAGAAAGGTTTAGCCAATGCCCTAAAAACTCGAAAGGGAAATTTCTCAAATCTTCAAAAACTTGCCCATAGAGTGAACTAAATTTTAATGAATCCGGTGAGACTTAGCGGATGGGAGAGATACCTTGTTTACCCCACATCAAGCGACAATATTCAAAAAAAAAAAAAAAAAAAACCGAAATTCCTTTCTTGTCAATCGAACAAAAGTTTGATTTAAAAAACTTGCATTTTTTCCTCAAAACCAACAGGACATGGCTTGTGACTAAGGCTACCATAGGTAAATGATTTATGTTTAAGGTACCATAA